GGGAGGGGAGGGGGCAGCAGAGGCTGAGGTCAGGGGGCACCAGGAGTCACTTCCACCTGCTCTCCCTGCCTCTGTAAAAGCAGAAGGTGAGATTCGAGGCTCAGAGGAACTAGGAGGTGCCCCGCCCCCCAGGATGGGCCCTGTCCTGCCTCCCAGGACTTCCGGGCCCCTGTGGTCTAAGGGATGGAAAGCATCCTATGCTCGGAGCCGCTTCTGAAACTCGCTCATACACACGTACGCACGCATGGACACCTTTCTCTCCACTAAACACAAGGGCACAGAGTCCCAGGGGCACCACTGAAGCCAATTCCTGGCAAGACTCCAAGGTCTCACGAACGGGGCACAAGAAACAAAGGGCATCAGTCAGCTTCTCCTCGCCCTGCAGCCCAAACTGCTGCAGGACGCTTCTTCCACCAGCCCCGTGCGAAGGTGGCTGCGATTTCCAGGTGGGTCCTCGCCGGCTTCTCCCGGGTGTCATGGGGCTGTGAGAACAGTGCCCTCTGCTGGTGTTTTTTTAAAAAAGGGTTAGTTCAAAGGATTGTGAGACTTTAGCACTACAGAAATGGGGAGTCGGGGTAAAAACGGCATGTCCCGCCCAGTAGCGTGGCTCGGCGGTTGAGCATGGACCTAGGATCCAGGAGATCGAGGTTCAATTCCCAGTCAGGGCACATGCCTGGGTTTCGGGCTTGATCCCCAAGCAGGGGGCGTGCATTTCTCTCTCTCCCCCCCTCTTCCTTCCTCCCTCTGAAATCAATGAAAATATATTTAAACCCACAAACAACAGCATGTTCCTTATAGCACAAGGGGCTTTCTCTGGGGTGCCCCTCCACACTGTCACTGAGAGACATGGGGGACACAGGAGTTATATAGATATGTCTGCAAAGACTGAGTCTTGAGATGGGACCTTCCTTTTCTTCCCTGTCTCCCGCCCCCCAAAAATGTTGGTTTTCACACTAAAAAAATACCTGGAGAGCTGGTGAAGAATGGAGATGCCTGGGCCCTGCCCCTAGAGATGTGATCTCAGAAATCTGAGCGTCAGATATGCCCAGACCAGAGACCTCCTGGTCACAGGGCTCTGGACTCTACTTGCTTACAGATCCCCTCTCTACTCAAAGATGTCCCATCGTCAGGTGATCCAGCCTCTAGGGCATTCTCTGAGTTTGGGTTTGCTCGCAGCTCCCTGGGCGGACACATCCTGCAGCCTCCATGAAGGGCTCTCTCTCTAATGCTCTCCCTTATGATACCTGCTCCCAGTCCCTTATCTCAGCCGCCCCACCCCACCCAACCCCAAGGCTGGGTGGGGAACGTCCCAGCCTCACCCTTGAGGCCCAGGCCTTGGAGGTTTCCCATCTCCAGCTCTGTTTTAATTTGCCTGACTTTCCATTATAGCAACTTCTGGGGCTAAAGAGGCCTCTAGAGCCTCATTGAGTCCACGTGGGTATGAGCAGGTCAGACCATCCGTATGAAGAAACAAAACCTCTCTGTTCTTTTCCCAGAAGTGGAGGACAGCTTGCTCTGAGTCACCACAGGTCCTGGCCAGTCAGGCTCACTCTCCAAGGACAGGCCTCAGTGTGGCCAAGTCCCTGGAGGCCCACAGTCTGCAGCTCTGGCCTCCTGAATTCAGCACAACCAGGGCCGTGGCTCTGCCTGCCACTGTCCCGTACGCCTGGCCACAGGAGGCCGGCTGTAGCTCTTGCCTTCCTTCCCTTTCATTTCATTCCTTTTAACCAAACTCCGAAGATTTCAGCCTGAAATCTCAGGAGAGTAGCTTCAAAACCCAGGTCTGCCTCAGTCTCCTCGAGCAGCCCCCAGTTTATAAACCAGGTCCCCCTCCTCCGTGGTGACACTTTGCATTTTGAGATACAATTCCATCCAGAAAGGGTAAGGTTACTGTCCTATAATCAACCAAAGCCCGAAAAGCTTTAGACACTGGAAATGCTGACAAGAGGTTGTCTGTATTTCTTGTCTCTACTGACGTCATAACTAGGAGTGGTGTGCACGCAGCCCAGTGGTGTGCACGCAGCTACCTGGGTGGACCCCATGCATTTACAGCTACATGTGAACCTGTGTACATGGCTATACCCTATGTGACCACCTCTGTGCCACCGTGGAGATCTATGGGACCCCGAGTCTTCAGCCTTCCAGCAGTCTGTCTGCAACCTCCCCGGGGCCATCTGCAGTTTGCTGACTTTCTTTCCGCTGCTCTGTGAGTCTGAATCAATGAGTCAAGACCTGACTCAGAGTCCTGTGCAGACATTCTGGGTTTGCATCTGTCTCTGGAATCTGAACCCTAAGTGGGCAGAGACTCTGGCAGGGGAATCAAAATGGATTTCAGAAGAAAAGCACAAGGATTTAGTGCTTGATGGGGACATCCCTTGACATGTGACAATATGTAATTTTTTAAAAGCCTGTGTACATGCTCACACCTTTGGAAGAGGGTTTGTGTTTCCTTAGACTCTGGAGGCAAGAACAGTAAACCAGCCCTGGCCGGGGGCTCAGTTGGTTGGAGTGCCTGTCGTCCTGTACACCAAAAGGTTGCGGGTTCAATTCCCAGTCAGAGCACATACCTAGGTTTCAGGTTTGACCCCTAGTTGGGGTGAGTATGGGAAAACTGACCTATGTTTCTCTCTTTCCCTCCCTGTCTCTAGAAAATCAATAAACATATCCTTGGGAGAAGATTAAAAGTGCAACAAACTGATTCCTAAAATATTTATAACCAGTTACATATTTTCTAAAATTGAAAATTATGCTCAAGTTTTAGAAGAGTGTATGTGATCACAGTAGAAGAGGGTTAAAGCTGAGAAGCAGTCTTTAGACTACATGAGCCTCTACCATCTGGATGACACTTAAAGTCAGTAGGGAAAGGAAAATATATTCAATAAAAGTTAAGGCACAGGGGTGGGGCTCCTGGTCAATCAACTCTGCCACTTAATAAAAAATGCAAAGTAGAAACCCATCTGATGCCATGCACCAAATGAATTCCAAGTGGATTACTATAAAGAGCACAATACCACATATAAAACAAGCAGGTGAACTCACACCTGCCTGTCCACACACACACACCACACACAAATGCTTACACCTGCCTGTACACACACACACCACACACAAACACACCGGCCTATACAGACACTGCGTACATACACTTGCATCACTAATAGGGAGAGAGATAAAGAAATCATGACAATTAGAATGGAACACTGGGTGGTTTAAAACATCATGCTTTTTAAGTACACTGAAAGGAAAACTCTCCCTTCATTTAAAAAAAAAAAAGGCTCTATGCTGTGGACCAGGGACGGGATTCCCAGCAGGAGGAGCAGCTCTCCGCTGTGAGTCTCCCTCCCCTGAGCACCTCGTCCTTCCCTCCTCAGAGCTCCCTGGCTGGCCCACAGGTGCCTACACTCCACCAGGCACACTTTCCAGGGCCCCCGGGGGGGCGGGGGGTCAGTTTGCAGTGATGTTGTGGGCACACTCCAGGATTTGGGACTTTATGATTCCTAAAAGTCCTTTAGAAATGGAAACCACAACAGAATTAAACACAGACACTAAACTGCAGGATATTTACAAATCAGCTCTCCTTCCCCAATCAATATGCTCCTTACATGATCCCTTGATTTAAGGGCCCCAACCCTTGAGATTGGGCTTTTTAAAAAATTTCATTCTTTTTAAAATATATATATTTTTAAAATACATATATACTTATTATATATAAGGGAAAGGGAGGGAGAGAAACATCAATGATGAGAGTCACTGATTGGCTGCCTCCTGCACGCCCTCTACTAGGGATGGAGCCAGAAATCTGGGCCTGTGCTCTGACAGGGAATCGAACTGTGCTCTCCAGGTTCATGGGTTGAGGCTCAACCACTGAGCCACGCCAGCAGGGCTGAGTTTGAGGTTTTAAGATCTGTCCCCTGAAGTCCTACTGCATGCTTCTTTCTAGCCTCCCTAGATACCTTCTTGTCTGTGTTACCCCATTTCATGCAGCCAGACAGTGCAATGTCCTGCTTTGGGACATATTTTCAGGGGCTGTCACTGAAAATAACTTGGTGGGAAGCAGCACCTGCACCCTGATCCCAAACATGTCTCTAAAGATGCTCTTGCCCCACACTGAGGCCCCACCGCTAGACTACACAAGCCCAATTCAAATCCTGGCCTGCAGCTTGCAAGGTCAATCCCAAACACTTCCTCTAAGTGCCCTTGACATAGCTCAAGAGTGGAGGCTTCTAAACCTACGTAAGATAAAGATACATGTGCTTGTGTAATCTCCACCAGGATGTAACGTCACTTCTGTCTGTGGAAGGGGGTGAGGGATGGGAATGAATGGATATTAAACACACACATCACACACATCCACAGCACACACAGGCACACGCACACATACACCCACAACGGAGCGCCTTGGCAGTGTTCCTTCAGAAGCGATGAGGAAAGATGCCCTCATATAAAGGAACACAGGGACTTTTCAAACGTACCCCACAGCTGTAACCATTTTTGTAGAGTGTCCCTTTGTCATTTCAAATTCCTTTTTGGCAGTTTAATAATGTTTTAGCTGCAATTGCTTTAAATATAGATTCCTTGCTAAATAAATCCCTTTTTATCAATGGATTTTAAATCCCAAGGCAAATTAATGACAAAATCAACTAAGCACCCAAAATACCCAGAGCAAGTAGTTAACTTCCAAGGTAGAAACTGAAAAGATAAGAACAGCTGATTTTTTTCCTTTCCATCAGAATAGACTTTTACAGATTCCTGGATGATCAAGTGATCATGGAAATGCCCTTCAAACACAGCCGATGATCAGATCCCATGTACAACCAGGGACCTACGGGAGGCGGCCTCAGGCCCCAGCGAATTCCACCACTGCTGCTGACAGCTGTGAGCCAGCGGAGCCGAGGCCGCGCCCAGCAGGGGGAGCGGGAGCCACGCTGCAGGCGGGCAGGGCCTCACACTGGCTCCCTCACGTGTCTCGCTCAAGCTCGTCCACGTCCCCTTCGCTGCCCACCACCCCGCCACCCCGCGCACACGCAGGTGGCCCACCTTGCTGCACAGGCGAGTAGGCATTGGTCAGGAAGCGGAAGTGCCCCTTGTTGTACCAGCAGATCAGAGACATGTTCCCCTTCATCTTGATGCGGTGCTGGCCCCGCGCGGGCGGCGTGGCCGGGTTGGTCAGCATGGACGGCGGCAGGCCCGTGCAGTCGCTCTTCCTGGAGCTGAGCAGGCCGCAACAGTAAATCCCTGGTGGGGACAGGGACACAAGACCGCACAGACATCAGAGTCCCAGGCGGCTCCCCTGGCCCCAGGCATGCTCGGAGACAGGACGGGACTGCCCGGCTGAGGCCGGCGCGTGGGAGACGGGCCTCTAGAAGGCCCCCTAGAAGACGCTGCTGAAGTTTGGGGGCTTTTCTCCCAGACGTGCCGTCTCTCAGGAACGACCACAAGTGTACTTAAGAGCACACGTGAGGCCGTAACACAAGCAGGAAGCAACAGTAACAACAGGCGTCTTCGTTGTTGAGCGCTAACCAAGCAGGTGTGCCTGGCATCCTTCCGCTTCTAGAAGCTTCTGCTCTCCATCACCAACCACAACAGCAGAAGAGGGACCTCGGCTCCGGGGGGCCCCAGGCTCAGGGCTGGGAGGGCAAAGACAGGTTCCAGACCTGACCACAGTTAAGTCACCCTAACACTGTCCACAAGACTGGACCCCGAGGGCCCAGCCCTGTCCTGTCTGCACAGCACCCAGGGTGGCCATTTGAGACGGGGCCCCATCCCCTTGGGAGCGAAGCTGAACCAGCAGAGGGAAGAGTCATCTACAACGTGCACATGGCCAGAGTTCTGCTCCGGAAGGTTCCACAAGGGTGGGGCTGTGAGCAGAGACCAGCAGCAGCAGGAGGCGTCTAAGTTGCACCCTGGGCTCCAGGCCTTTCTGGGTCCTCTCTGCTCAGGGGCCCTCTGGGCCAGGTGGCCACAGGCAGCCACGGGAAATCCCCTCCTCCCCGGAGCCCACGTCCTCAGTCTGGATGCCTGGAGGTGACACTTCTGGCTGAAGCCCTGGGTCAGTCTCATCCTTTATTGGCTTCTGCCCATTGAAGGCTGACACAGTATCGGCAGTAACACAACGTCCTGTATTCCACCCATATCAGCACCACATCACAGCACCCCACCCAGGACAGAGGACACAGGGTCCCTTTCCTCTCTGAGCAGCAGCAGTGGGGGCAGGAAGACCCCCAAGTGGTAGGGGTTCCCAAAGGAGAGGGCACCCTGCTGCCTGGTCCTCTACGCACAGAACTTCCCGAAATGTTTTGCTCTCAAGATTTAAAAAGAACCTGTTTTTAAACAGGGTGAGCTGAACCATGATGGGGATGCTGTAAAGCACCCGCCGGGATTCGGTATACAAAGCTGCCTTTTCCTGCGAGGGGAAGAAAACCCAGGCAGCAGCCGAGTCCTCGAGAATCTGTCCCTTTATGAAAAGAGCAAGTATTTTACGACATCTTTTCTGGCTATTATCTTACAAAGCAAGCTGTGTGCCCCAGGAGGGACAGCTGGACGCTCAGCTCGGGCTCCCTCCTTCAGGCTCAAATTAGAATGGAGAACCACCCCCAGGTGTTGGCATCGCAGGTGCAGCCCATGAGGCCCAGGTGAAGGGCCCATAGTTTTAGATGCTTCTAAAAAATAGGCAGTGGAATCTCTGCCCCCTCTTGGAGAAACTCAAATTCCATGTCTAATTACTTTCTTTGCACTGGGGGACTCTCCTCCAATCTCCCCCCAGGTTTCCTGAGTGGGGGAGCATCACCTTCCTCCCAGAATCACAGGTGGCCGGTGACAGTCCTGTGGCACCCTCACCCTGTAACACGCCAGCCCCACCTGACACACATGCCCCGGCCAGCAGGAGGGCACCGTCCAGGTGAGGGACCACCCCTCACCGCAGCTGCCAAGGTCCCAGGTCGGCTCCCCATTACTAGAGGGGGTTTCGTTTTAAGGCCAGGTGTCTGATCTGTTGCTAAGCAATAGACCTGCAATTCAGTGGCTCCCGCAGTGAGTGGGGGCTTTCTGTGTTTCTCCTGAGCCGACCAGACAGAAATCCCCACATGCAGGACAAGGCAATGGCAAATGCCAGCCCTGGGCTTCCTGACCTAGCCCAAACCCTTTGCTCCAGCCCCTACTTCTGCCAGAGCCACAGAAGGCCCGCCCAGCTTTGCCACAAATGGACCGAGCATCTCAGCACCCAGGGGAGACCTTGCTGAGGCCCACAGTACTACAGCTGCAATTCTCTGCAGCATCTACACATCTGCCAACTGCAAGGGGCCCTGCTACAGACGGGGCTGCATTCAGACTCCCTAGCATGCTGAGAAGAGCTGTGCCCAGTGCTACAGACTGTGTGTGCCACCCCCCCATTTCCTATGCAGAAAATGTAACACCCAACGTGGTGTTACGGTATTAGGAGGTGGGCCTTTGGAAGGTGCTTAGGCCATGAGGTGCCACCCAGCATGATGGGATTGGTGCCCTTATGGGAGGCCCCACAGAGCTCTCTCACCCTTCCATCATGTAAGGACAGGGAAGGCACCTTCTATGACCCAGGAAGAGGCCCTCACCCGACCAGGTTGGCACCGGGGCCTCAGACTTCCAGCCACCAGAACTGTGAGAAATTTCTGTTGTTTATAAGCCACCCGCTCTGTGGTCCTTTGTTATAGCAGCGCGAATGGACTCGAACACTAACAGAACTCCTTTGCTGGCCACGGCCTTATAGCAAAGGACACAAAGAAATGTGCCCTGAAGACTGGGCAGAGCTTTGTGCTGCTGTGTCCCCAGACCTCAAGCCAGTGACTGGATCCCTTTGGCACAGGCTCTCTGGTGCCCAGCAGGGTCCAGGCACCCTCGGGCTGGAATGATCTGTTCCTTCTCACCATGGTCTGCTGAACATCACGCTCTGGCACCCCCACCCCCAGACCTCTCCCAGCGCTTTCCAGGGCAGGGGCCCAGGCTGACACCGGCTCCCCACCCCACAAACCTTGCTTTTCAAACTCCTCAAACAGCGTCAGGCTGGTGATGCTGGGCCCCGTGAAGATGATGTAGTTCTTGCCGGCCGCGTTCCGGCACAGGCTCCTGGCCACCGCGCTGTGCAGCTGGGGCTTGTTTTTCAGTGCGTCCAGCGCGTCGGGGCCCCCACCCTCCTTCAGGTGGACGTATATCTTTAACAGAGACACACAAGGGTCAGTGAGCGCAGCACAGCCACCAGGCCAACACTTCAGGCAGTGAGAGATTCCGTCCTGGGGCTGGAACGAGTGGGAATGCCGCCCACTCCTTGGGCCACTGGTTCCACAGCCCCTCCCACCTCTGTCCTGTCCCCAGCCTGCAGAGGCCCCAGGTCCCCCCGAGGCCACCCCACAACCTGGGCGGCTGGCGGCTTAGCACAAGCCTTTACCGTTTGGAAATGTCAGGAGAAGGGAAAGGACAGTTACAAACCACGACCCTGGCAGCAGAGATCATTGCAAACTGTCCCCCGGTTCTGAAGCACAGAAATGACTGGAGTTTACAATAATAAAAGTGAAGGCTACGTCACCTGGGGGAATAAACTTATCCGTGCGCTCCCCGTTTGAATATAGCTTTTTAATTCACGAAGTACGTCCACAACTACTGTTTCCCACATCCTTCATGGTAACCACCACACAAGTGGGACAGGCCACAGTCACCTCGTATCACAGAGAGACGGGATCGGGACTGAGAACTCACCTGAGGTCCGAGGACCAAAACAGGAAATGCTGGACCCAGTGAGCAGTTTTTAACCCTTTGCGGTCATTTGTCTACTCTCAGCCACCAAAGCTTTTTTACCATTCCGGTCGTATGTCTGCTCTCAGCCACCACAGCAAGGAACCGTACGAATCTTAACTCTATTCATTCATGTATCAGTTCATAATTTCTCTGAAAGCTCTTAATTCCGACCAGTATGACACCCATGTCCAAATTTAATACGACTGCAAAGGGTTAAACTCTCTGTCCCATGAGCATCACCAAATGGGTAGACACAAGAAATAAAAACAGGTTCAAGGAGTAGGGCCCTCCTGAGGGCTGACCGAGCCGTGAAGAGTCCATCATGTGGGTATTGGCTGCCGTCCTTGCCAGAGACTGGTTCTCATGGAATGTTCTGGGTGCCGTGGCTGGAGGTCATTCACAACCTTGGGGGTGGATGCCTGTCAGTCCCTGGAAACCGCGAGGCCAGGAAATGAATGGGCCCGTGGCCTGCGTTAATAGCAAGGGTGGAGACCGGTTCTTGGGGGGCCACACTTCACAGGCGTAAGAAGCGCGCACTGGGTGGCTCAAATAACAGAGACCAATTTTCTCACCGTTCTGGAGGCTGAAAGTTCGGGATGAAGGTGTCGGCAGTGTTGGTTCCTTCTGAGCCTCTCTCCTCGGCTTGTCGCTGGTCATCTCCACCCTGTGCCCTCACAAAGTCCTCGTTCCGTGCTTGTCTGTGTCCTAATCTCCTCTTCTTGTAAGGACCCCAGTCATACTGGATTAGGGCCCGTCCTAATGACCTCATTTTAACTTAATTATCTCTTTAAAGACTTACTCCAAATTCAGTTACAGGTACTGGGGGTTAGGAATTCAGCACACGAATTTGGAGGCCCAAGTCAGCCATAACTGATGAGGTGGTGCTAAATGTGGGGGTGCACAGCAGAATCAAGGACTGTTGGCTGGGGGCTGCCCTGTGACATGATGACTCACACCTTCGTAGGGCAGAACCAGGACCAACGTGCAAACGAAGGAAGCAGATGTGCTCGGCACCAGAGCCCTTGCTGACACTCAGGGCCACCGAAACACTGAGCAGGCAGCCTTGGAGGCTCCAGGACAAGCCAGACAGCCACGCGGAAGGTCAGGACACCAACTAAGGCTGGGCTGGACGGCTGTTGAGGTACCTCCCGATTGGTTGCCTCCCATATGCGCCCCAACTGGAATCGAACCCGCAACCTAGGTATGTTCCCTGACCAGGAACTGAACCTGTAACCTTTTAGTGTATGAGACGATGTTCCACCCAACTGAGCCACACGGCCAGCGCAACAGTGGGTTTATTTTAAAAGTGAATATAAAATAGGATCTACTTTTAAGTAAGTAACATAAAAAAGCCGTAACCTCAAAAGCCCCAGCCAAGCGGCACGACTGAGAGAGAACTGTCTCTGGGGCTTTGGTGCCCTCCTGTCTCCGGGGAAAACATGGTCCAACTATGCTGCCTTGACCACTCTCCTCACTTTCAGAATAGAAGAGAATCGGTTATCTCCACTGTTGGTGCAGGGCACGTCTGGGGCCGGGAAGTCACTCATTAGGGACTGTGTGGTCCTTGGCATGAACCTTTCACTCGCTAGCTGAGCCAGAAGCATTCCCAGCTGTGAGGGACAGCACAGGAGTGAGAGTCTCCCTGAAATGATGCAGAACGAGCTCATGGAGATGTGAGGCTGTCACCTGGAACATCTGGGGGGACAGCCACTCGTGAGAGTTGTAAAATTTAAATGATGTTCACTTACTGAGAGATGAACTGGGTCTCTCCCACAAGGAGGCAGTGCGGGTGTGAGCCCTGGGTTCAGTGGGCATGGCTCTGTCACTCACTGGCTTGAGTGATGTGGGACAAGCTACTTAACTGCTCTGAGCCTTGATTTCCTCATTCGTAGGGATGACAACCCTATGCATCTCCCAAAGCCACTGTCTTTAAGTGAAAGTTGTGTAAGGAAAAATGTTTTTTTTCATAGAGAAGCTCTAGACCTATATTGTACCTGTAGACACACATGGCCAATTTAATGTAAATTAACTAAAATTATGTAAACTGGAAAATTCAATTCTTCAGTCACACTGGTCACATTTCAAGTCTCCTCAGTCACATGTGGCTGGCAGCTGTCCCAGGGAAGAGAGAGCACAGGTACAGAACATTCCTTCAGCTCCACTGTGTGCCACCCTAAGCTCCTGAGCCTGGCTCTCCAGCAACGTCTCCAAGCCACCACCTCGTGTTGTGACAACTCACCACCAGGTTCTCTCATGTCGCCTCTCACCATGATCATCACCATGACCATGACCAGGCAGGGCCCATGCACTGAGACCCTGCTCTGCCCTCCTCTCTTCAGCTGCTCCTTTAGCACGAATGACCCTGCAAGAACTTCGCTTTCATTTCATCCTGAAGCCCAAGTCCCCATGAGGCTGTCTTTTAAAATGTAGGTTGGAAGAGGGACAGGTGCTAGCTTTCCATGAGCTTCTGCACCCACCCACCCACTCACATCAGCTCAGTCATGGATTCCAGGTCACTGGGGAGAGGGCGAGGGTTTAATCTGATCCAGTCAGTGCCTGACTCATTTATGTGTGCTCTTCATAATACTTTACTGTCATCTCTGAATCCCTTCATGGAAAATTATGGGCAGATTACCCCACTCAAAAGACTGGGAAGAGATCTGCTTTCAGCTACTTCCTCAAGGACACTCAGAGACGTCTGTGGCAGATGTCTTGTCCCCCAGCCAGTTCCACACTGTAACATAAGCACATCCAACCTGGGTAGGAATGGAGCTGGCATCTTGGCCACTGCACAGTTCAACAGATGGGCGAATGCCCTGCCCTGCCTGGTTTTTGACTCCACAAGCAAAATGCTGTCTAGTTAATTCCACTCTGATCTTCACTTTTCAAGCTAATCCAGTTAGTTCTAGGTCAAGAGCAAAAGATTCCATTCACATAGTGTATAAAAAAGATTCAAAGTCAAATAAGAAAAAGCTTCAGTGCACATTCTGTGAGTTAGTCCAACATAAAAGTACGTCTCACATTAAGGGAGACAGGTGACGGCAGATGCGAGAACATCAACCAAACAACAGTCACCTTGGGTAAGAAGCAGATACTGGGGTTTGTCTAAAGTGAAAAAAAAAAGTCTCCTTGGGAAAGAACATAGCCTACTGGTAAAGGCTCTGGGGTCAGAAAGGCTGGATCGAATCCCAGGTCCGTCAGTTTTCGGCTGAGACTTCAGGCAAAGTAGCTAATCTCCCTGTGCCTCAGTTTCCTCACTGTGAATAGAAGCAGGAACCCTACTACCTCATGAGATTGCTGTGAAATGAGTAATACATGCCAGTTCGTAAGCCTGGGGAACCTGGCAGGTAGCGAGTACCCCGTTGATGTAAAGTATCCTTTTCTGAACCCCAGAAGCTGTCGAAGATCAACAGATGAGACATGAGGGGGAGAAGAGCTTCCAGATCAGCTGGTTCAGCAACACACGGTGCAGGGGCCTCATTCAAAGCCCTCAGAGATGTCCACCTGGGCTCTGCCTGGATACACCCAGTGTGTGCACAGGGGTAGGAAGTACTCGGGAGTTGAATTCTGGCTTCTGAAGCCCAATCCCCTCCAGAGTATGTCAATTCACTGAGCAAGAAACGATGGTTGCCATTTAGAATGGCTCTGCCCCTGCTCAACCCATAACATCACACACACACCTCTAGTACAACACCCGTCACAATATATGAATATTTTTAATTCCACCGTCTCTCCTAACGGAGAGGCAGTGAGGGCTTCATTTACCTCTGGGTCTTCAATGCCAAGAACAATGCTAATTCCCGACAGTGTGATTCAAACACAATCTGCACTTGGAGTTTTGTTTGTAGAGATCTTACCTTCCCATCTATTTTGTAAACTCCTCAATAACAGGAACCTTAGGCTTAAATTCTTAGAAAAAAAGAGAATTTAAACCTAGACCTTAAAAGGGGAAGCTGAGAAAGCCACCATCCCCACCCTCTAGGAGTTCAGAGTCAAGGGTAATTGTTGCCAGTGAGCCTGAGAAACAAACAGGCCGCATAAGCCAGGTGGACACCGGGAAATCCCTCTGCAGTAGAACCATAGGCTGGAGATATACAGAGATCAATCGATTGGACTATCTATAAGTGTAGAGGCATTTATTTTAAGGAATTGGCTCACATGATAATGTAGGCCTAGTAAATCCAATATCTGCAGGGCTGGCCAGCAGGCTGGAGGCCCTGGGAAGAGTCACGGTTCAAACCCAAAGGCATCTGTTGGCAGGATTCCTCTTCTACAGGGGACTTTGGTATTTTTCTACTAAAGCTTCAACTGATTGGATGAGGCCCACCCACACAATGGAGGGTAATCTACTTTACTCAAAGGCTGCTGTTTTAAATGTTAATCTCATCTAAAAAAAAATACCTTTACAGAAACATCCAAAATAGCAGTTGACCAAATACCTAGGTACCGTGGCCCAACCAAATGGACACATGAAATGAACTATCACACCCTCTGATAGCTGATGTCAGGGGTAAAGTCAGAAAGTGTCCCTCAAAGCATGCCCAGGAACATGACAAGTGACTAAGAGTGCTGCTGCTGCACTGAATGGGACAAATGGACAGATGGTAAAGGGACTAAGGGCCACAGAGCTCATACACTGTCCTGACCACTCATCTGTCTATAGCTGGGAGTCTCATGGACACAGCACACAGAGAGCTGGAGACATGGCAAACCTGACCAGGGAAAGTGTGACAAGATTGGGGACCCAGAGCAGGCTTAGCAACTGGGCTTCTCCAGTGAAGTCATTTAGAAGAATGTATTTGACAAACTAAAATGAAGGTGTTCGTGTGTATACACCCAACCCGTGACGTTTACAAAGATGAGAAGAGCAGGCTCTTGTAGTCGAAGGACCCTCACTGATGAATCTACCCCACCCCTTCACTCTGCAGGCAAGGACACTAAGATCCAGAGCAATTCTGGGAACTGGCCAAGTTCACACAGGAAGTAGCAAGGGTAGGACTGTTGCTGCCCCTCAGGGTGGTGGAAGGAAGGGGTGGCCTGGGGTCATAGGATGGCAGAAGCACCATGAACTCTGAAAGCTGAAGCCACCTCATCTGGGGAAGAGGGATGAATACCACTGTCCCCCATAGGCTGGCAGATTCAAGGAGAGGCAGGTGTGACAGCTACTGCTCTGTCCTGTTGTCTTGTGCCCATGTGCATGCCCAGGCTGCTCCCTTTCAGGTTGTCAAACCAGGATTAGGACCTGGAGAGCCAAGAAAAGGGACATGACACTAAAAAGACAACTGTCCCCAGGCCACACTGCTCCTTAGTCTCCTGGCTCCTCACGGGCACAGGTGTCCCTGCCCTGCTTTTCTGCTGGCCATCGGCACCTTCAGCTGGACCCAGGAACAAAGAGGTAAACTGG